TAAGAGAGTAATAATAATATAATAATATAATATTCTATAATTCAATCAATATGAAAAAATATAACATAAACATAATTGATAATATTTATTTAAAAGATATAAAATGTGCTGGAAAACGAAACCAAATGTCCTGGAAATGTCCTGGAATTTAACTTTTAAAATTTTGTGGTCACCATGTGTATATATATATATATATATATATATATATATATATATATATATATATATATATATATATATATATATATGTATATATATATATATATGTATATATATATATATATATGTATATATATATATATATGTATATATATATATATATATATATATATATATATATATATATATATATATATATATATATATATATATATATATATATATGTATATATATATATATGTGTATATATATATATATATAGTATATATATATATATATATATATATATATATATATATATATATATATATATATATATCTTAAACATCAGACCAGTCCCTAATATTATCATCCAAAAAGTTCTTCAAAGGTATATCATTGGGTTTCAAAATGTGCAAAATTTTATAAAAATTTTAAAAATAGTCATTTTTTAATTCTTGTATTGTTTTTTATATAAAATACATTTAGGGTTTAATAGCAGACATATTCAAAAAATGTTGTTTTAAGAGCCACCCTAATATATATCAGGTACGAACCCATTCCTATTTTAGTACTGCTAGAGCAGTATGGGTGCCCAAAAATTATTTTATCTTTTAATTTTTCTTTTACTATTTTTTTTATTAAAAATAAAGGAAAAAAATTTTCAAATTTAAATTAGGGATGTACCGAAGCTGCAATTTTGCCGAAGCCGAAGCTTCGGCTTAAGTTATACGTAATTTAAAGCTCAATTTACTTCACCACGGTGGTTTGAATAATCAAGTTGCTTTCAAAATTATATATCAATGTTTTAGGTTTCAATGTTTTGGCCTACATGCCCATTTTAGGAAAATTATAAAACAAAACCAATTTTATAAAAAATTTAAACAAATTTTGTACAAAAATTTAGAGAGTGAAATTTAGAGTCTTAATTCTATATATCTAGCAGGTATAGGAAAGATTACATCACTAAATCTTAGACATTTACTGATACTTAAGGTAAATTATGGTCTATTCTTTGAAAGAATTTATAAAAATGTAAACACGTAAAATGTAAAAATATAAAAGTAGTCATTATTTTAATTTGAACACAAAATTTGGTATTTGTTTTAAATTTTGTTAAAAAGTTGAATCAGTTGAACTAAGAAGCTACAGTCTATTATTTAGTTAATAAAAATTTATTCAATGAAAGCAGGCATATTACAATTTAAAAATGCAATCTGTTCTCCATGTTCGGGTAATAGTCTGTTTCTTTTTGCTTCAAATATGTTTCCAGATGTGCTAAATAAGCGTTCACTTTTTACAGATGAAGGAGGCGCGCACAAAACTTTCTTTGAAAACTTTGACAAATTCAACTTGTAAGTATCTTTATCAGAGGAAGTGTAACGGTATGCACTCCACCACTTATAAGGGCATTCATTCTTTGGCAGTATTGGAAGACTCAAGTAGAAGTTGACTTCATCGGTGCTGATACATAAAATATAGGTGATAATTTTAGGTTTAAATTTTTAAAATATTACAATTTAATCAACTAAACAAAATAAAAGAATGCTGTTATCCGTCTTTTGAAATAAAAAAAATGGAGAATGAGAATAGAGATAAAAAAAATATTTAATATTTAATGTATAAACAATATAAAAATCATAAATAGATTCTGTTTTCTTATCATTTTTCTTTGACAGTTAGAGTTTTTCCCATTGAACTAGTGTTTTTTTTCTTTTTTCTCCGTCCGTCAGAATTTTCTGAATTTTGTAGAGCATACTCATTTGCACCGATTTGGTGGAACAAGCTATATATGTCCATGCTCATTAGTTTTTTTTTTATTGGAGAGCCATGGCCATCAAAATCTGAGTCATGAATTTCGGACTCATGAATTTTAGATTCTGAAAATAAACTTAATGATTCTTCTGAGTCTGATCCACTACCTCTTTCTACACCAAATTCAATTTCTTTTACTTGTTCTAAATGAGATTTGGAACAAAAACAGTAGAACTCTAAATGGAGTATTTCTTTAAACATTATGATTCTTGTCTTCAACAAACTTTAACTTGAAACGAGGATCAAGCATCATCGCGATTTTTAAATCAACATTATCCTTGTATTTTTGAAAACGACAGTTAAAATCTTTCTTAAGTTCATCAACAAGAGTTTTTATTTCAGTTGCCGTGTCACAAACGTAGTCTAGAAACTTTTCCATTGCATAGATAAATGGTATAATCTCTGATATACATGCCGTTTCTTTACTCATGTCTTTTGTAGTATTTTCGAAGTGTTTTAATATGCATACAAGCATTTCAGCAAGTTGCCATTGATTTTCCGTAGGATTTTTTGCATTTGTTTGATTTCTGGTAATGCAATACAATG